AGCAATGTGAATGTACTTAATGCCACAGAACTGGAGACGGAAAAATGGGCAGAACGATAAATTACGTGTCACGTGTATTTTGCCATACATTTTTTTTTTAAAAAAAAGATACGTATGTAGGAAGAGCTCTGGAAAATTGATGCCATATTCTTCCCACTGGTTACTTATGAACAAAGAAATAAGATTCTCCATTTACAGAGAAGTTTTTAAGAAGGAAGGCAGTACTGTTGTAATGATGATGCAGTTTCCTTTCTTAAGGATTGCTGTTTTTTGCTGTACTCCTGGGTTCTGAAGTCGAGCAGGACTCTGAACAAGTATTTTGTCCCTACCACCTAGAAAAAGACAGTTGGGGTGCCCGGGTGGCTCAATCAGTTAAGCGGCCAGCTCTGGATTTCGGCTCGGGTCATGATCTCAGTCCTGGGATTGAGCCCTGGGTTGGGCTCTGCACTCAGCGGGGAGACTGCTTGAGATTCTCTCTCACTCTCTCCCTCTCCCCCTCCACCTGCTCATGCACGCGCTCTCTCTAAAATAAATAAATGAATCTTTTTTAAAAAATCAAGAAAAAGGCAGTTGTACAAATGAGCGTTAGTTGAGCTTATGAGTCAAAACCGATAAACTAGAGGAAAATAAATATTTTTTCTTTGGGATCTAGCACATGGAAGACAGTGTGCTTGACCCCAGAGGTGTGACAGCTCAGCAGAACTTGGATCGGGGGGGCGGGGGGAGCAAAATGGAATGCCACGAGGCAAGGCACAGTAGCACAGAGGTGAGGAGCAGGAACAGGGTGATGGGCATAGAGATGAAGGAAGAGGCCACGAGAGACTGAATTCCCAGGCTGGTGACCAGGGAGGGGTGGGCGGGTGATTCCCCAGCGTGAACCCCACCGAGGGACTTTGAACAACTTGCTTGGTTCTTTTGCTGTACCGCGCCCCCCCCCCCCCGGCGCCTGCACCTGTCATGACCCCCACATGGGGATAATGACAACAGGTTGCTGGGAGGTGGAAAGAGACGCAGTAGGAGGAGTGCCTTGGACGCTGGCAGCCGAGGGCCCCTGGAGGGTATTGCCAGGCAGCTGATGAGCAGTGCAGAGAGGCAGCATTCTGGGAGCCGGGAGTCCCCGGGCCCTGGGCCACGTTTGGCCAGTCTGGTGGAGGCAGGTGACAAGGGGGCTGGCAGCCCAGTGTTCCTCCCCTGCCCACCCCCGTTCCTTGATGATTCACCCAGACTCAACGAGTCCCCCTCCCCAGCACCCCTCAGCACTGCATCTAGCTGGACACCCTGCACCCAGCTCTGCCTCATCTCCCACCACCTTATCCTGCTTTCTACCCCTGAGGCCCTGTCCACCCCCGTTGGGCCGGCAAGAGCTCAGGACCACAGCACAGTCCCCTGCCCCTCCTGGCACCGGGGCTGTCTTGGGGGGGGGGGGCGGGCTTTTGCCTTGGGAATCCCTCCCTCCTGCCCGCTTCCTGCCTTTATCTGTAGGCCCCGGGCTCCTGGGAGCGGGATTGTTTTGCTCCTCTCTGTATGGCCTATATCACAGATTCAGAGTTTGTTGGAAAAAAGAAGAGCAAGGAAGGAACTTTTTTTTTTTAAAGATTTTATTTATTTATTTGAGAGAGAGAGAAAGCACATGAGAGGGGGGAGGGTCAGAGAGAGAAGCAGACTCCCTGCTGAGCCGGGAGCCCGATGCGGGACTCGATCCTGGGACTCCAGGATCATGACCTGAGCCAAAGGCAGTCTCATACAACTGAGCCACCCAGGAGCCCTGGAAGGAACTTACTCTTGTCTTTTTCCCCAGCTGGACCCCAGAGAAGGAAAGCCATGTCCTGGTTCCTCTCCTTGCCCCTCGCCTCAGCCTGCTGATGTAGAAACCAGCCTGTTTGGTCCTCAGCCTGCAGGATGGCTCTGGGCCACCCGCCTGTCTAGCAAAGGAGGGTGGCTGGCGCAGGCCCTGAGGATAAGGCAGCCCACACCCGGGCAGATGCTGGCCAAGCATGCACACAAGCACTGTCACGCCCGCGCCGCCTGCCCTCTCCATCCCCCCCCCCGTGCCCCCTTCCCCCAACCCTACTCAGCAGGCATGTCACAGGCTGCCGTCGGGGCCTGTGCCCAACCCTGGGCACGGGTCAGTGGGCACGGGGCAGAGTACCGAGGCAGCAATGCGGAGAGGAGGGGCCCGACCCCCAGGGAAAGGGGCAGACTCGGGGGGGTGGGGGGAGCTCCAGGCACAGAAAACAGCATCCCGAGGAGGTACCCGCATTCCAAAATGCCGAGCAGATGCCACCAGCAAGTGAGGACGCAGGCGAAGGGTCTTGCATTCTGTGCTTTATGCTGGGGGCTGGGGTTTCTCAAGCAGGGCCCTCCTGTGCACTCGGGAGGTTGGCGAGCCAGCCCTCCTCTCATTTAGGTCCCGATCATAGACTTAACACGGGAGCGTGTGCACCGCTGAAGATTTCAGCATCTGTAGAGCATTATTTCTGGGCTCGGACTGGGCTCAGGACTCACAGGGAGCCAGGTGGCATTTCCCGACCCCAGGGGCGCCGGGTGTTGCTTGAGGGCAGCTCTGCATTACTCACATTTCTCTCCCCTAAGCAATAGGCCAGAGCTATTCCCTAGCAGAGGAGGTGGCTTGCTCTCTTTCTCTGCCGAAGGGTGTCGGAGCCTGCTGGGAAATTCACGCCATCTTCTTCTGGTTTTTCTCTGGCTTGCTTCTTGGGCAGCCTGCCTTCTCCCCAGGTGATCCTTACCACCCCCGGTGAGGCTCCCAGCCTTTTCGGATCTCCCCATTTCACCAGGTCTTACCCTTGTGGTTATGATTCGGTTGTCCAACCTGCTCTTGTCCTAATTTCTGCTTCTTTATTTTAGCCTCTTTATCTTTTGACCTGTTCACCTTTTGTAACCTGGGGCTGCGTTGTCTTTACTTCTACTGATAAGTAAGCATGGAGGATAGCAGTGATTTTAAATCTGTCTCCATAACCTTCCCTCATAAGTGCCCTAATTTCTGTATTATTTCTGTGTCTGCTTTAAAAAGTCACCTTTTGACAGGGCCCTGAAAGAGAGGTTTTGTGGGTGGGTTGGTTGGTTGGTTGGTTGGTTTTGCATTTACCCCCCCTTGTCCTTGCAAGTCCTCCCCAGATTAGACATTTAACTTGCCCTTTCCCCTTCACCCCATGCTCTTCTTGTGGGGTTTTTGTTTTTTTTTTTTCCTTTATTCTGCCACAGACTTGTGCTGAGTTAGTGGCTCTGGAAAAGGCCAGCCGTGCCCATGGGTGTGGGTGCTAGGCCGGCTCTCACCCCTCCTCTCGGAGGCAGGGCCCTTCAGCCTCCAGTTTCCAACCCCTGTCCACTGCTGCCCTCCGGTAACGTCTGCAGGCATAAGGAATTCCAGAAGAGTCTCTCCCGTGCCTTCTCCCTGCCTGCGCTCATCACAACCGGGAAGGCCTCAGGGAGGGGATGGGCCGTGAAATTGCTCCCCACATTCTCCGCCTGCAACTTGGGATTGGACCCTCGAGTCAAGCTGTTACTGCTCCCAAAGCAAGCTTCCCAGTTGGGTGTTATGGAGGCCCTGGGGGTGCCCCAGCCCTGGGAAGGCTCAGACGGAACAGGCTCCAGCTGGAGGGGAATGGGCGAGACAAGGGCCTGTGCTCGGCGTTGGTGGCCAGTGGTGGCACATCTGGGTGTGGGGTAGGAAGTGGGGCCTAGAGAGCGAATGGGGGAGGGTGTATGCTCGAAGAGAGATGCTCTGGGACCATTTGGGTCTGGAGGGCTGAACAGGAGAGGTGGGAGTCCAGACGGGTCATGCAGGAGTCTGACAGACAGGCCTCCGCTGGCCCATGAACCCAGGGGGGCAGGGTGAGGGAAGAGGGTGGGCGGGTAGTGTGTGGAGGTCCTGAGCTGGGGGAGAGGATCTGGACGCCCACCCTGGGGAGGAGGATGGGGCGGGAGCCAGGTGTGAGTGAGGCTGTCGTGGGAGAAGAGCTGGGTGGGATGGTGATGAGTATGGCCTCCAGAATCCTTCCCCCACTCTCAAAGGGCTGCCCCTCTCCCAGCCTCAGTGTTCCCATCTGTGAAATGGGGGCTCGTCCTGGTTCCCAGGGTTGTTATGGGCAATGCACAGGGCCTGGCAGCTAGTAAGCCCTTAGCCTTCCTGAGGACGGGGGAGGAAGAGCCTGAGAGGTGGGAGCCAGTGCCCAGGGCAGTGGGGTCAGTGGCTTGGGCTGTCCCTGGTGCCTCTCCTTCAGCCGGGACTCAGGAGGCCCAGGACTCTTCCTGTTGGAGAGGACACATCACAGGTGTCCCCAGCTTTCCTGGCTTCTCTCCTGCCCACGCCCTGGGGTGCCCTGCAGCCTCTGGGGTCCCTTCCTATTCCCCCTCTTGTCCACATCCAAAACATCCCAGGACCAGCACCGGCACCATCCAGGCCCTTCTTTTTCTTCCCTTGACAGGCATCCCTTCTCCCCACAAGGCTCACAGACGTGATGGCGTCACTTCCTCACCTTCTGGCTGTTGAGGTCCCAGGGTCAGGTTGAACCCCTTTACCTGCCGTGTTTTCCTGCCTCAGTGGCCTGGCCCTGGTGTCCCCCCTCCTGCCCACCTTTGTCTACGCCAGCCATCCCCTACCAGGAGCATGCCTGCCTTCTCTGTCACTTCTCCTTCAGGGCATCCATGTGGCCTCTGATTCCAGCTCTGTCTCCTGAAGCCACTTCTCTTGGGCTTCCGAGTGCCCCCTCTTGGAGCTGTGTCAGGACACTGACCACGGTTGTTGCTTCCCCTTACTTGGGTCCCCTGAACTCTATGTGAGGCCAGTGGCCCTGCCGTTCTGCCTTGAGGCCCTGGGCTTGGCGTGGCACCTGCTGCATGATGCTCCGAGGTGAAGGAGAGAAAGCAAGGCACCGCACACTCAGCACTGTGGGGTGAGGGCACCGATCCCCATGTGTTTTCTGACCCTCACGTCTCTCCTCAGAGTGAAGACCACCCGGAATCCCAGCAGAGACCTCCCGGGATGCTCTGGGCATGGCCTCTGGAGCCCCCCAGCAGAGCAGCCAGTTGGCAGAGGAGATCCCAGGCTTCCTGGACGCCTTCCTCTGCGACTTCCCAGCGCCGCTGAGCCTAGAGAGCCCTGTGCCATGGAAGCTCCCGGGGACAGTGCTGAGTCAGGAGGAGGTGGAGGGCGAGCTGGCCGAGCTGGCGATGGGCTTCCTGAGCAGCAGGTAGGAGGCGGACCTGCCAGGAGGGGACAGCACGGGCCGGGAGCAAGGGGCTTGGCACGTGCCACCGGCTGAACTTGACTGCAGCTCCTGCTCACCCCACACGCCCTGCCGTGTGCCAGTTATGCTCCCTAATGACATCCCCGTGACAGGGCCGCATCGCTTCCCCAGGGCTGCCGTCACAGAGTAGCTCGGATTGTCTCATAGTTCTGGAGGCCGGAAGTCAAACCTCAGGGTGTCAGCAGGGTCCTGCTCTCTCAAAGCGTGTGGAGAACTGGTTCCAGGCCTTTCTCTCAGCTGCCGGTGTTGCCAGCAGTCCTTGGGGTTCCTTGGCTTGTGGAGGCATCCCTGCAGCCCGGCCTTCTTGTCACATGGTGTCTGCCCTGTGTGTCTGTGTCTTCACGTGGCATTCCCTCCCTGTCTGGGTCTCTTCTCCTCTTGTAAGGACACTAGTCCTTTGAGATTGAGGGCCAGTATGACCTCATCTTACACCTGCAAAGACCCTAATTCCACATAAGGTCACATTCTGAGCAGGTTACGACTTTTCAACGTATCTTTTGGGGCGACACAGTCCAACCCATGACAGGCGCAGTCAATCCTGTTTCTGTCTCATTTCACAAATTCGGAGGCAGAGGCCTCAGGGTGGGGGCAGGGCCAGGCCATGTGTCCAGCCTAGTCAAATGACCCAAGAGGTGATGGTGCTGTCCCCTGTTCCCAGGCCAGGCAGCTGAGGCACATTGGTGAGATTTGAAGGGAGGAAGCAATAGACAGTAAAGGCTAACGGCCCATGCAGCGTCTGCGTGAACCTCATCCCTCCCCAGGGGCCGGGCCCACAGTCCCTAGTCACCGTGTCACCCCTAAAGTCGGACCACGCCCCCAGCCTCAGCATCCTGGCATTTTAGTGTCCCCAAGCGTGCTTCCTTTGTGACAGGTCAGCTTGATCCCTGCACACCCCCCCAAGGGCCTGCTTGCTAGGATCCGACAGAGTTAATGACTTTTTTTTTTTTAAAGATTTTATTTATTTATTTGAGAGAGAGAGAAAGCACATGAGAGGGGGGAGGGTCAGAGAGAGAAGCAGACTCCCTGCTGAGCCGGGAGCCCGATGCGGGACTCGATCCTGGGACTCCAGGATCATGACCTGAGCCAAAGGCAGTCTCATACAACTGAGCCACCCAGGAGCCCTGGAAGGAACTTACTCTTGTCTTTTTCCCCAGCTGGACCCCAGAGAAGGAAAGCCATGTCCTGGTTCCTCTCCTTGCCCCTCGCCTCAGCCTGCTGATGTAGAAACCAGCCTGTTTGGTCCTCAGCCTGCAGGATGGCTCTGGGCCACCCGCCTGTCTAGCAAAGGAGGGTGGCTGGCGCAGGCCCTGAGGATAAGGCAGCCCACACCCGGGCAGATGCTGGCCAAGCATGCACACAAGCACTGTCACGCCCGCGCCGCCTGCCCTCTCCATCCCCCCCCCCGTGCCCCC